CCTTTTTATCCAATCTTTTAAAATGTATTTTGAGGGGCTTTGGGGAAATATTGGGGATCTAAACAGACCCTTGATATTTGCCACAGAGCAGATTAACATGTGGATCCTTGTCCTCATGGTGAGGACAAGGATCCACATGTTAATCTGCATTGCATGCTTGGAAACATCATCTTTGACCGCCTTAAATACTGCCAATTCATTAATCTGCTGTATCCTGTTGTCTGCTGTAACCTGATGTAAAGAATAAAGCACCTTTTGGAAAAAGGTATATATATATTTTCTCCCTCCTCAAATAATGCCACTCCACTCACTTGCCCTACAAGACTCCTCTGCTCTCTCAGGATTCTCCTCCTCCTACCTATCCAAGCGCTCCTTTAGGATGGATTCACACCTGGGCATTCGTAATATGCACATATGACATGCATACATCAGTTGATCACCTCACATGGCTTCCAGGACCATCTCCATGCTGATGGCACTCAAATATATCACTGCTGGTAATGATTAACATTTTCCTGTTAGATTAATCACAATTTTATTTTTTTTCTATCTAGCTATGCAATTGTATGCCTTTTTTTTCTTTTCTGACTGACAGGCCGCTGCTCCCGAAAAAGAAAAGAAAAATACGATCACAGGGAAAGGTTTATCTGCTCGATTGAGCAGATTAAACTTTCCGGTAAAAAGTGTTTCTCTCTCGGGCGGCCAGGAGAGTTGGGATGTGTACTCACCAGCCCAAGCGGCTCTATCGGGTAACAAAGGGAAGGGGCAGGAGTCCAGTGACGTCACCGCACTCCTCCCCCTTCCCTTCGTTAGCCGACAGACACTTGGGGAAGGGGGGAGGAGTCCGCTGACGTCAATGTCCGTGACATCACCGGATCTCCGACGGAAGCCGGCGGAGAGGTGGGTACGGATCAAAAGAACTTTGATCAATCAAAAAAATTTACAATTAATCATTAATTTCCACAGCCCTAAAATATATCTCTTCACTCCACAACTCACCCCCTCAGTCTCCTTGCATGTCACTAATCTATCCCCTCTGCTAATCCCTGCACTGGCTTCCAATAGCCCAAAGGATCAAATTTAAAACACCAACAACCACTTCCTTACAATACCATCCAAAACTCTGCACCCGGCTATATAGGTTCTCTAGCTCCCTCATCAACTCCTACCATGCTCACCTCCATGACTTCTCTAGAGCCCTCTCCCATTCGCTACAACCCTTAACCCCAACCTGTCCAACTCTCTTCCACCCTGACTACCTTTCAGCAATCACTAATAGACTCACTCCTCATCTCTTCAGAGACGCTTATCACACCTCAAACAATTCATCCCAACACAGCTACCTCCTCATGTATCACTTACCCCCCTCCCTCTTACAGTGTGAGCCCTCCTTAACATCTTGTCTTGAATTGTGATTGTAAGGTCATAACAAACAGTTAGTGTTCACTATATTGTAAAGGGATGCACAATCTAAATCCTATATAATAATAAACAAAGCCATGCCATGCCCAAACCCCACTAAAGGAAGATGAGGAGCTGACCTGTTATGTGCTCAGTCATAGGACCTTGTATTTACCATCCTCCTTGTCACTTGTACATCATGTGTGGTTAGCTGCAAAGTACATCACAAGTCCAGGGGTCATGTGCTTTCATGGAACTCGGAGTCTGAATGGCCCCCACAGGAGGGTTTGCCCACCTGCAGGGCAAAGATTGTATAGCATGTCTCCACTGACTGACTGCAGCTTATCTACATCACCCATCATTTCTCAGACATCTAACTATATGAGATTATGTATGAGAGAACACATTAAGGTTAAACACAAAAAACACCCACCCAGGGATTAGTTTTGTAATGTTAAATTATATGTTGCTAAGAACATAACACCAACTTTATAATAGTTTTATCACAATTTGGCTGCATAATTGGAAAGACACTTTAAGACCTCGCTCACAGCCTTCAGCTTGTTGTGTTCAGTAAGAAATTTGGTTTAGACAAAAAGAGAAAAACAAATACTAACATCTCAATCTTGCTGGGAGCTTTGAGCAGCTTTGTTGGATTCTTCAAAGAAAACCCAGTTCCAGTGGTAAGTTTGCAGGCTTCAACAAGCTTAACATGGTGCTGAAGTCTGCTCGCAGCTTGGGGAAAGTGTCGCTCGGCATCTCTCCCGCAGTTTGCCATGTGTAACCTGAGCGATTACAATGTCGCTTCATGTTTTCTGTTCCATCTCCATGTAGATTCCTCCCTGGTTTTGGCTCTCCTGCTGTCAGAGAAAGAATCATTCATTACAAGGGATCTCCCCACCTCCTGAATCACCCTTCAGCGCTCCATTCTGCCAGGCAGTACTGCATGTAGCAATAGGAACAACTGTGCTGGTTACAGACGCCAGCAATCAATGAAAGAGCATCAGAACACACAGTGGCCAGGGATAAGCGTGCCGCTACATCACACGGGGACCACCAGATGAGAACTACTTCTGCAAGCACATGACTACAGCAATCCAGGACTGTCTGTCTTTTCTGTGAGCACCAATTCCCACAATCATGTCAAGGAATCGATGCCCCTCTGGAGGTGCCAGAAGATCAATGACGTTGTGAGAGTCACAACAACATATAACATGACAGATGACAGCTACTTATAAGACACCGAACCCTAAGAGACCAATTAGTGTGTTTTGTCTCTCGTCTGTCCTTCTGCTCCACTGACTCAGGAAAACTCCATACGAATCAATCAACTGTATTTTATAACACTGATTTTTGTTTTTTATTTACCTGTTTCCATTGATTGATGTAGTGACTGTAAGTATTGCACTTCTTGTTCTGTGTGTTCTGAACTGGGTTTTAATTTTTCAGACAGACAATGAATTTAGACATCGGGAAGACTGTCCCAGACACTTTGAAGTAACAATAAACTAAAAAGGATAAAACATTTCTCATTCCATTCTTATTCTCTTACTGAGAGAGTGACGCTAGACTCCAGGTAAAGAATTCATCGTGTCATCTGACTGGCTACTCTCTGCATCACCTCTCGTGACAGACATTGGGGGGCCGCCATTGCTGGCCTTCTACAGAGGTTAGTTACCAGCTTCTGTGTTCTAGACTTTGCTGTCCGCTGGTTTTGTGTCGGTGAGTCAAAGTCTAAGAAAGGCCGAAATTCCTTCTCTTTACACTGCCAGGTTGGAGAAGCCAAAGCAACGTTCTACACACAGGCAACTCAAATGTTTCTGAAGATGCCAATGACACCCCAACATTTCCTGTCATTGTCGGTGAAGTAGATTGAAATGTAAAGACTGTGCATTACGGAGGCTGCTATGAAACCTGCAGAGACTCTGGCATGTGTCAGGACAGGGTGCATAATCAAATACAGGTCCAAGGAGAGGTGCACTGAACCGGAATTTGGAAACCAAAATAAAATTGTTAAAAGACAACTATTATATTTTTTTCTAATATCTTTTCTTCTAACCCCATTTTCCTGTTGGGGACTCTGGGGAAATATTAGGGGTCTAAAAACAGAGCACTGATATTTTAAAATATAAAAATAAATTGAGGACACGAATGCTAAATCTTCTTCTGCAGCCCCCCATTATGGCTGAATAGGAAGCCTCTAGACCCAGTGTTCCTGGTTCATCCATAAACTGTGGAGACTATATCAGTTACTATGTCCACAATCATGAACAGGAAGTGATGTAGAGCACTTCCTGTTCCTTTATAACTGGGGACATAGTCATTAACTGAGGACATAGTATGCTTACTAACGTTCAGCTATATACCACTCTGCATCCAGACTCTTCCGCTTGTCACAGAAGCCTCCTGTGATAGCGCTAACCGACTCTCCTCCCCGTTCCATTCGGCCTCTTAAAGTTTCTCTTCTCCCTGTTAAGTGCTGCTCTGTGCCCCCACCGATCCCCCGTGGCCTCTGCTGACACAGACAGCGAGAACAATAGGGACCAGATGAGACAGAGCAGCGAAACTAGAGATGCACTGCATTTCTGGCCAAAAAGACAAGAATTATACTTTCTGCATTTAGCCCAAAGTACAATTTTCAGCTGAAATGTTGGTGCATCCCGAGTGCCGAGGGCTTATTTAGGACTGCACATCTGCTGGGGAAAAATCCGTTATTCTTGGCAGCAGAGACAATAGCCCCCGTTCACACCTTGTATGCCGACAGCCAGGGCAAGATTTCTACCCTGTACAATTCAACGGCCAGGGCGGCCGCTTTTCACACATAACCACTCTAATAGCCCTGGACTCAGACAGACAGTTTGTGCTTAGGGTTGGTCATTCTGGCAAACTGGATGTGGCCATAGCAAAGTGCTGATGTGTCCAGATACAGAGCTTGTTGGCATCCGACTGCTGCAGTCTAGAGGGCCTTGTGAATGAGTCCCAAGGACTCCAGACCAGTAGATGTGTAGTTGTGGATTGGCACTTCCTGAACACCTCTTAGCACCATCAACATATAAGCATATAAGAGAGCTGGAAGAGTGTAAAGAACCCAGAGTTACCCATCAATGTCAGATCAGGAAGACCCAGACAATACCGTGCAGTCATAGCAAATCCCAGGCCAAAAGGAATTCTACTTGGGATCATGAATGAACAATGTTTGGGGCTCTGTGACAAGTGGAAAACAATCTTTAGTGTTAGTTCACACCATAGGCAATGCGTTCCAGGCCAATTCTGGCCAGAACGCACTGCGTATGGTGTGAACTAACCCCTTAAAGCTGAACTCCAGAATCACATTCGCTTTTTATCCACACACAGCTCCCTCGTCACAATCAAATGGTTTAGGGTTTCATTATAACAAAAGGTATTATTACTTTCAGACTTCTTCTCATTTTTCATCCAGTGCAGTTCAGCAGGTGAGAGGATAAAACATCACATCTGACATGCTTAACTGGGGTGGGATCAGGGGACAGACGACGACTATGGACCACATTTCCAATGAGTCCCATATGGCAATCTGACAAACTGGATGTGGCTTAGGGCTGTCCTGCCGCTCAGCGTGTGACCAGTGTTAATTGTACCTGCCCATAGAAGGATGCGTAATGTAGTCACTTCCAGTCAATACAAGACAATCCTTCCGGTGCTAAGAACTACAATTAGGAGATTGTGTGACTAGGAGCAGTTTCTCGATAGGGAGAAAACAACACCCGGTCCCATCAACAGGAAGGCATCTGAAAGAGCTGCTCTGAGGGATAATACCTAGGAAAGAACAAACAGACTATTGGAAGAATTCTCAGACATTTCTACAACATAAATGTCAGCAACTTGGGAATGATCGTGGCTGGAGTTCAGCTTTCAAAGCGCAGGGGGTGACAAAGCTGCAGCTATGCCTACCTCTCCGGCCTGACCATAAGTTCCCTGTAACGGACTAAACACAGACAGAAATGAGCAGTCCAGAGATGGATTCACAGCAAGACGATGTATTTGTGTCACATTCGCAATCAAGTCCAAGCTGGCAAACTGCACACAAATAGATTTAAAAC